AAATTCAGCAGGCAGAATCCTGACTTGGTCTAGTGCAAGTGTTCAAATCACTATCAATATCACTATCCTCAAATCTTTGTACTGGCTACCTTTTCAGGTTTCACACTTCAAAATCCCAATTTTCACCTAAAAGGCTCTGTATGGCTTGGCACTTCTTTATCTGCTTTAACTGGTATCACCCTACAACCCCCCTCCTAACCCCTGTTCCTCTAATTCTGGTCTTCAGTGTGTCCCTCAAATATGTCTACACTCTCTGGGAGACAGGGCCTTCTCCCATTATGCAGCAAAGCTCTGAAACTCTTCTTCCAAAGAACTTCAGAGACTTACCTTTTAAAATCTGTTTTCAAATTGAAAACTTTATTTTTGTAGAAAAGCCTTTACCTTACTTTTTTTGTTGTTTATCTTGTGCATATTTTTACCTGATTTTGATTCTTTTTTAAAAGGGCATTGAGAAGGTATCTTTAGGGCCCATTCACACCAGCAAGCTGCACTAAATGCACAGCTGCTGGTGTGTGTTGACAGGCTCAGTCTGCATTGACAGGCACTGATCCCAGTGTGTTGAACTTGTGACATTTCGTTAAGTTTTATTGATACAGTGCATTAAGATGTGGTTGTACCAAGTTGAACCACCCTATCCTGCAAAACAGGACAGCATATCATACTTTTTTAGCATTCAAAAAAGCAACCAGTGCAGCTATAACGCTTCTGGTATGAATGGGCCATTAAAGACGCAAAATAAAATAAAGCTCATTACTATTATTACTAGGGATGCCCCATTACCGCGCTGCCTGCACCTTCTGAGACCGATTGGGACTCTGGCAAGTGCCCACACAGCCCAACATGTCACCTGCACAACCCAGCATAGACCCCACGTAGCCACCTGAGAGTCCGCACAGCTCGCTATAGAACCTGCACAGCCAACCAGAGAGTCTGCACAGCCCACCATAGATGCTGCACAGCCCACCATAGGCCTGCGTCAACTAATAATCTCCGTCATAGTTGTCAAAAACACTTTCAGTAACTAACACTAGACTAAAACTTAATAAAAAGTTATTACTAAAACTATAACAAAAATACATTGATATTTTACTTAACTAAATAAAACTAGACTAAAATGTTAGGAAGAGACTATTTGGGAAGCGATCCAATCAGAACCAATCTCTTCAGACTTCCATTTCCGGTTTCATCCTGAATGGATGGCTAATAGGCAATATGTGGAATGGTATTACAGCCAATATAGTTTTTCATCTTAATATTTTAGAGTTGCACTTCTGCTTGAAAGAATGAAGAACGTCATATGCAAGTTTTTATTATTAATGCATATCTAATTACTGGTCCTTTCTTGAAAATACTCAATAATATACTTTATAAGACTTGGTTTAATCTAATTTTAAGATAAAGACATGTTATATAAAAAAAACAGTAAAATCTGTGTCAGTATTGCATATTCAAACCTTAACACCATAAGTAATAACAGGTTAATAGACATTTACTCCAGGAGTATATCATGGGTTTGGAAATTCTAGAGGAATTCCTAAATTACTCTTTAACTAAACCCACTAGATTTTAGTAGACAATCTACTGTAGATTTATAAACCAAAATATTATGATATTTATTTGACTAAAACTAGCACTAACACTAAAACAATTCAGATGACTAAAATTAAATGGTATTTTAGTCAGCAGACTATGGCTAAAACTAAATCGAAATTTGCTTTTCAAAATTAACACTGCCATAGACCCTGCATAGCCACCTGAGAGTCCGTACAGCCCACCAAGGACCCCACATAGCCACTTGAGTGCCCGCACAGCCCACCAACATCACACTGTATTTACACTAAGAGTGATCGCACTCTTTCCCTTCCTTGGCCCCTGAAGAGCACACTACATGTTAAGCCTTAGCATTTACAAGCTACAATTTTCCCCCATTGTACATGTAGCTAAGTACTACCTCCTTCTGAGTCCATACAACATAAATGCCAGCATATACCCCAGGATGCAGGGATTTTCTGCATCCAGGGATTTACGTTGGTAGGCATATGAGGCTACATGTAAGTACCATAATAAACCTGCGTACACTCACCAACCTCTATTGGAGGATGTATGCAACACCTACAGCTACCTTGCAAAATAAACATGTTGGTATTAATGTTGTACGGGATCAGCATTAACCCAAAATGAGACCCTACAAATGAGATGCACAGGAATTGTTGCACTCACAAAATGGCCAATTTACACAACACATAAATACAATAAAGGAAACATATCAGGATATGAATATGTTCTCTGCCATTGACGACTTGTTTTTGAAACTATATGATCCAGGGCTTTCATCCTGATCCTTTCCTCAATGCTTGGCAAGACTGTGACCTGGAAAATGTATGTACATACAAGTGTCAGAAAACCCTAATATATATCTGCTTGCTCTGGGTCACTGAATGGCTGAATAATCAAGCCAGCATCTGTATGACAGAACTGAAACATGCACTTTTAAAAACAAATCAGGAACAGCAGCTGTCATATTCCCATACTGGCAGAGTCCTTTTAATGGCTGAACTTTGCAATATTCAACTTACTTATTTGTATTATACATTTCTTGCTACATGCAAGCATCCATTCCAGATCAATATACAGTCTACACAGTTTGCCGTGAAAAGTTGACGTTAGCCTCTTTTTTTTTTACCTTTGGCCTCTTCAAAGATATTGTTGCTTGCCATGAGAAAATATTACCAAAAACCCATGCATCTTCTTACTTTGTAAATTATAAATGACTTTTCTTTGTGCATTTAGTTTAGTTTAATTTGTCCCACTGCTTCCAAGCTGATGCCAAAAGGTAAACATTGCAAAAGCACATCCTCAGGATTTAGACACTTGCACTGAGTACCTCAGCATTTGTATGAGCACAGACTTATTTAAACATATATAGACAGTGCTGTAAACATCTGAAGCATAACCCTTCTCACTCACCTTTAGATATTTTGAATAAAAAGAAAATCTCAATGTTATTCACACTCTCAGTATGAAAAGCAAACCAGCATACATACCATCTCCTCAGGGGAAAACATCCCCATTGTTAAAACAAGAAAGCATATATTTTTTCCCCGCAAAGAAACCCATGGCTAGAGTTCGCATTGCTGAGGGTTTTTCTCTTGGAGCATCCTTCAAGTCATGCAAATTTACAATACAAGTTATTTCTGAAATTGGCTAAAATTTACTGGAGAACATCCAAACATTCCTCCAGCTCAAGTGCTTTTGCAGAACTATAGGGGTAGCTTAAAGTTTAATTGGAAACTGGAACTTGAAACCTGAGATTACAACATATATATATATATATATATTGAACTGGCCAGAGGGGTTACTGCCAACAAAATATTAGTATAGAGTTCAAACGTCAAACATAGACTTAAGGACTGGAGATTACCAGTGCTATGTGAACATATCAATACTCATAAGAGAATTTACCAATGCATTGCTGAAAATAAAAGTCAACATTTAAAGCAGACATACTATCTTAAAGAAAGAGCTCAGACACGGTTTCAGGCAGCCACAGGCCACCAAAATACCATTCTGTTTACTCAGGACTTTAGTTTAATGGGGTTGATTGACTAAAAAAAAACAAAAAAAACTTGTTACCTAAGCAAAGTCTATGTTCACTTTATTTATTTATTACAGGTATTTATATAGTGCAAACAATTTACTCAGCGTTTCACATAGTTGCACATTCACAACATTCCCTGCCCTCAAAGAGCTTACAATCTAAGGTATCTATCTCCTATAAGGTGGATTTAGACAGGAGCCAATTAACCGTCCAACATGTCTTTTGGAGTGTGGGAGGAAATCTGAGTACCCAGAGGAAACCCACACAAGCACAGGGAGAAAAACTCCATGCAGATAGTGTCCTGATCGGGATTGTTCCCCATGGTCCCTGTATGTGTTGTAAAGTAGCCAGCGCTCCAAACTCACTCCCATTATGGACTTTAATCACATGTTTAGTTTACTAATATTTATTGAGATTGTAGCCTATCATTAATGCGAGCTTGGAGTGGAGGCTACTTTACAACACACACAGCACAGGGACCATGGGGAAGAAAAGTAGCCACCCTCCAGAAGGAAGGACAGGGTCCGCACCAATTCAGAGATTATTTGAGGATCTACAGCTGAGTGATACACACATAAGGTACATTTTTGTTAATAGTTAAGGTACTCTAATGCATTTTTAGGTTTAGTGCCACTTTACGTTTCCCTTTAGAGTAGGGCTGACAATAGGTAAATATCTAAACAAGCATCGCCGATAGTGAAAGATCTGCACATCTTCATACATGTTGCCAGGCCCTGCCTCAATCTTCTCCCCATCACATCTAGCATGTGAATGTAGCACCCAGATGTGTTCCGCTTCCATTATAGGATGCAGGTAGTCATTTAAAAGAGCACATAAGTTTGCACTTACTTGCAGACTATAAGTGTCTAGTGTGCCGTGTATTCGGGCAGAGCAAGACCTGTGTTTGTACCCCTCTGCCTGGAAGGAGGGCTAAGTCTACACAACATTGTACAAATGTAGCCCACTTCTGGGGTAGTCAGATTCATGCTCCTTCCCAGGTAGAAAGGACATATATGGGGGTGCTGAATGCATCCAATTTGACAGTCTTGAAACCAGTTTGTTTCTCCAAGAATTCTGCCTTATTTGTAAAGAACTCTGGATTCCACAGAGGAGGCACAAAGAAGCATCATGTTGTACCAAAGTACACAACATTTCCCAAGAGCTCCTTTCCTACACACAGTGTGAGAGCAAACTATTTGGCATCAAAGAAGCAACAGTGTTTGACTTGGAAATGAATTAATGTGTGCATGTGAAGTGAACACCTTTTTGCCTTAATATACAGTTTAAGTATTCCTAATATTAATTTATAGTTCAGTTTTATTTGGCTTTCTGTAATGGAAGCAGACAAAACTTATACAGACATACATCATTTTAAGAGCGTATATTGAAATGATAACGATACCTCAGATAAGCCAGAAACCTCTCCTTTCTCTAGAGGCTTGTTGATGGAGGGTGTATACATCTTTGACTCTGACAAAGGTTTTGCCTTCATGTAATGCTTTCCTGTTTCATATACATCTACTTCAACCATCTTCCCCATGAAGGCTGGGTTTTTAGGCACAAGGACCTTAAAAAAACACATCATAAAAAAAAAAGCTTGGAAGACATAATTTGATGACTGAAAAAACTTAATGACTATCCCACCTTACCTAAAAAATCTGGGTCATTCAACAACAGTGAAGGGAGAAAAGGGAAAATAGAGTGATACACAGACTACAGACTCACCAGTCCCTTTCAATAGTCCAGTGGAGAATCAATAGGAGCACAGGCTGACACTGGGTATTAGAGCAACAATTGATCAGGGAGAGGCAAGGAATCTTCAGCAGAGTAGACATCAGAGGTCCATTCTAGTTCAGGCACCTCCAGCAGCCATAAGCATCTCTGGTTCTTCTCCATAATCTGCAGCAGAGGCTTACTCAAGGCTTGAGGCCTAGTAACACATTTCCCACACTTGATCATTCCTACCCCCAGGCCTAAGCCAGGGGGCAGGCTGGACTCTAGACTAGACCAGAACTGAGCTCATGGCAGTTCCCCGTGTATATATGCACTTTCCCAGCATGCACCATTGGCCACACTGGCTCCAGTGATTGGCTGGTGAGCCACACACATCCCATTGGTTGCCCCACTCTGCAGCAGAGTCACACCCCACACAGGCAGGTACAATCAATGCTAGAATACCTTAAATTAACCATAAAACTGCCGCTCTAGCAACACTACATTTCTAGTAGCCCCTCCACAAAAGGTGGTAGGGGCTACAATAACTTTTCTGCAATCTAAGAAACTATGTGTCAGCAAATGTCAAAAACAGGTAACCTAAAAACTACCCATGCAGACTCTGGCCAAGAAACATGTGGGCTCTCCTAAAACACTCTATGAAAGGGTGTGCCAGTGACTTTTAATGAATGCAGCAAGTAAAGACTATCCCTACTCTACAGATTTCCATTTTATGTCAGCAGTTGGAAGTGGTGTGTGGTTCTTGGGTTGCTAGGCATAGACTGCACATGGGGTCTTTACTTCTGCCCAAATTATGATTAAGCTCCACCTTTTCGGGAGCTAATCTACATCCTCATGATTCAACAGACATGTAGCATAGATTCTACTGCTCCCAGATGTTCATATACAGTCCAATGAGCAAGCTGGAGAAGATACACAGGAAGCTACACATGTTCTGAACAGTACAATCACTGAGGCTGTGCAGAGAGTTGCATGAATAATAATGGCAGCTAAGCAACAATTTGGTAAAGAGTCTACATACATGTGTTTAAACTATTCTGCTTTAACCCAACTTTAAGTATGCACGAACAGCAGTTGTATCTTGACAAGAAGATAAAACGTATTTAATTGTAAATAAGTGATATTTAATTGACATTTGTAGTTTGATGATTTCATGCACCTTGGGAGCTCTAGCAAGGAGATCCCCCTGCCATAATTCCCTTAAAGACAATTATTGCACATTTAAGCTACTAGCTACTATTAACCAACCATTACAACACATAGATGATATAATTCATTTTGGGGTGCCTTGTGCGTCTCACTGCTGCCTCCCTTATATTTATTTGGGGCCTTTTGTGGCACCAGGCTGTCTAGAAGGACCATTCAGCCTGTTAGCATGCACATGCAACTCCTGACTCACTGCCTATTATTGGACACATTGAGGGGAGTTCTCATTGAGACACAGTGACAGCATGAGTGCAAAACTGTAAAATTAAACAATAACTACAAACTAAATCAGCACTGTGCAGCTCTGATTGTTTCCCCTCCTGCATGTGACATGATTTGCATTGACACACTGTCACTCTCCAGGCATTTAGAGTAGAAGGACCCTAATGGCTATCTGCTGCAGCACCTATAGAAACATAGTGCAGGTAGGCAGTAGTGAGAAGTGTTATAAATTACATGAGGGTGATGGGATACTGTAGAGTAGGAATAGTGAATATTCAAGGAGGTCCGGTTAGAAAATGTTTTCATCTACCAGATGTCTGAATCACGATCCGGGTAGAATAGTTCCCTCAGTCCATGTCTGTACCGTGGCCAGCCATTTAGGCTGCCTCCACATACGCACATGTTCCTTTGAATCAGGCAGGATTGTTTTTAAATTTTAATATTTTTTACTTCTAAACGCATCACTTTTTTAAATGTATTTTTTCTTCACTTTACATTTGCTATCACAAAGGCTCTAACAAGCATTTGGAGGTGACACGTTTTCTTTATGGACACATCAGGGGTCTATTAGACTCCTGAAGTCTACAATGCCCTCAATACAGACTATCAAGCACAGGAATGTGCTTAATCATCCTTTTTACCTGACACTTTTGCTGGGTTTTGACAGTTCTGATGCAGGAGGAGCTCATAGCACAGCGCTTCCTGCTTCATTCAGCACAGAACAGATCAGGGGAATGAATGTTCCTCGGTCTGCTCCCGCTCTCCATCCTGACACTATTTGCAGTTGTCCTGGGCCCCCCACAGGGGCGGGGGACCTGGTGCACAATAGTAGGCTAACACAAGTGGTCTAGGTGGCTATACAGCCACACAGATCACTTGTAGTTTTAGCAGCCAACCCTGCCTGACGTCATTGGAGGGGGGCCTGTGTTGGGTTATCGCTGGCAGTGGATGCACCATCAGGATGTATGGTCCGGCAGCCATAACCCAGTGAAGGTCGTAATTATGGTCGTGATTATGGTCCGGATAGAACCGACACTCATGTCCAATTCATGTCTGGACCGTCTCCACCATTTAGTGACACCGGCTGTTGAGCCTCTATTGTCATGTTTGTGCATACATTTATGCGCTACAATTGTTGAAGGGCTATAACATCTGTTGAATATTTATTGCTGTCGCTGTCCGAGTTTGAAATGTACCCTCTTTTTCTGGTGTGGCGATACTTGTCTAGGGAAGTGACTTGAGGGGAAATTTAAAATGGGAAAATCTCATCTTGTGACTTTCAAAGGTGGGATTGCACTCCACTTTGTGCACTTCCTGTACAGCTGGGGAAGTGACTTGAGGGGACATTTAAAATGGGGAAATCTCATCTTGTGACTTTCAAAGGTGGGATTGCACTCCACTTTGTGCACTTCCTGTACAGCTGCCAGAATAAAATAAGAAAAAAAAAATCTTCCCAACAAGACATGGACAGCAATAAAAGACTGACAGAAAAAAACATTAAATGTGCATAAGGAGAGAGCGCAGCAGTGACTGGACTTTATTATAGGAAGCACCTCTACAAAGGCAAAGTTCCAGGCTGGGTTACGACAAAGATCTGGACAAAATACACAAAGCACACCAAGATTCAATTAAGAATACACATGTCTCTTATATTTAGAGAATATTTGCATATCCTGGAGTTCAGCTTTAAGCACTTGAGTGCGCCGACTTTTTTCCCTATAACACACTTGAATTACATTTTTTTTCTTTCATATTAGCAATGTTTCAGTTCTGCAAACTTATATCTATCTTCTAGATTTTGTAGTCTTCTCTAATATATCATACATTGCTTTTCTTGGGACAGATAGGGATTTAATGTGATAGCAGATTTGGATACAAATATTTATTTTTTACATGTTAAATCAGAACATAACAGTGAAAAAAAATATTCCCAATGCAACTTTTATGTAATTAGTGCAGCCACAGGTGTGTACCCCAAAATATATCCATCAAAGTCTGCTGATTAAAAGGATATAACACAAATGTGATTTTTATCTACCATGATGAAATAGGTAAAGCTTAAACTGAAAGTGCACATTTTACTTTAGGATAGCTTTATTCTACTTTCAAAGCCACATTGTTATGCATGCTGTTTGTCTAAATTGTTAGCATAACATTCAGATAGTTGGGTTGACAAGGACACAAATTAGCACGTCAGCAAATCTTTGACAGGTTTGCAATCCCTAAATTCTGAATGACATTGTATATACTTGAGTGAGCATTTGCCACAAATGCACATATACAAATACCATCAGATCAAGAAAAGTCATGATTTCCTTTTTAAATATATATTGTTTGTATCTTCATGGCTCTGGTCACTGGAATCCTCATCTATGCAGAAGCATTGTGTTTACAGCAATCTGCTACAAGGACTTTTATGGAGCACTGTGCCCCTAAGATCATAAGCCCAGGTCATATAATTTCAGCTCCTGGGCTTAATGCTGGATGGCGACTGTCAGTTAACTATTTCTGCCTACATTTCAGCAGGGACCGACAGAACCACAGAGTCTCAATGCCGTTTTCAAATGGCACTAGGACAAATAACCACTATTCCTGGACAGTTTTAAAATATTTAAGTAATAAAGGTGTCAGATATTCTATACCAATAGGCTCCACAGATGTAAATAAAAAAAACATATATTGGATGCAAGACCAGGGGCAGGTGGCAGAGATCTGACATAATGTCAGATAGCCATAGAGGTATGGTTAAGAACCACAGTGAAAAAGAAACTTTACTGTGCAACTTCCATAACATTGCCGTTCCAAGGCCACCAAGGCCTGGCCTTGGAACGGCAGGGAATAGATGGGCGGCAGGGGGGTGTGGAATTCCTAGCGCCCGACGACCAGGTCATGCATCTGGCGATGCCAAGATCACTTGTAATTAACCTGCTCATCTGTCCTCACCCGCCACGCCAATCTCCTTGGTCCGCCCCCACCTCTGGCTGCCTCTGATCCCACTGGCCGCCTCCCCACTGTGGTTTTCAGGGTCCCCCCACTCTTCTGGGGGACCCAGGGCCACTACAAGGTAGCTCAGGATGGAGAGCGGGGAGCAGAGCAGAGAACATCTGTTCTCTGCTCTATGTAAACACTAAGATTGGAGAGCTGCACTCGCAGCCTTCCCATCTCAGCTGTCACAGTAGAGCTAGCACAAATATTGGGCTAGAAATCCTGTATTTGAGGTGACAGGTGAGAACCTGTCACCTCAAAATGCTATCATACAGGGGTTGTTAGCTCCTGTGTGATAGCAATAAAGTTAAGTCGGAAAAAAAATACAAAAATGTAAAAAGAAATGATAAAAAGTAAAAAAAATAAATAAAAAAAACAAAAAGGTAATAAGAAATAGTAAAAAAAAATGATAAAGTAAAAGATCATCAAAAATAAAAAAAAAGTAGAAAATTAAAAGTGATAACAAAAAAATAAAATACAAAAAATAAATAAAACCAACCCTGCCGCCCCCACCATCTGGTTGGGGGGGGCGCACATTGAGGAACAAGGCCTTGGGGCAGCAGAGAGAGTAAATCCGGCCCTGCTTGCCATATGCAGACTAACTCAGAAGTCCATGTTCAAATGGTCATAATGGTAATGGAGGAGCTCAGTAGGACACAAGGAACAAGCTGCTCATGAAAAGTGTATGACCATTATGCAGTAAGAGAAGTGTTGTATAACTTAAAAATTACCTGTTCATAAAAACGATTGTGGGCAACATAGTACTGGTGATCAAATGATTCTTCTGTAACTAGAACTTGCTGCTTTTCACCCACCTGCAAAAAAGCACATACAGTATATTATTGTTAATGGTGTCAAATATAATGGTATGGTAATATTAGACTTTATTTAGTTAGTAGAATTTTATTTTATAATTGGTTTGCAAACCGATCCTTGAAACGGTCAAACTGTCAAATCAGGTCTACAAACAAGACAAACTCATTGGTTGTATCAGGGGTTTTGATCTGATTCTTTAAAACAACATATTTAGGATATATTTAAGTCAAATATTTCTTGAACACTCCACTCCACATAGACAGTAGTGCTGCAAAAACATACTATTACATTTACTGGTGCTATGAATATTAATCTTTCTAACATGGGCTGTCTGAACTACAGTAAGCTAGCCATTAATACATTTTTGTATTTCAGATAATATTTGGAATCAAGTTCTTACAATATTTGAGACTAGTAGAACGATATATTGCATGCACTGTCTAAGCACGTACAAAACTCTTCAATTAAAGCATGCAAAACCTTTTACAGCGCCTGGAGAGTATAATGTTTCATATGAGGTAATATAACACAGCACATAGTCTCTGACCTTCAAATTCACAACTGGTGTGCATTTCACGGTGTAACTTTTATCCAGCTTTTCAAGGGGGACACATACTGACTATAATCAAAGGTATGAACGTGTATATAGGAACAACCAAACTAAAGCATTTGTCACAAGAGTAATACTTAAAGGGGTGTATTTATAAACATTTACTGCAGGCAAATCTTCCTGGTGCATGTGTTTTAAATGACAGTGATTGATTCAGCAACAGTGATTGATTGGTGAAAGTCACATTCACTGCTTTATCTTCATGTCCCTATAGGCAAAACCTTTTATTTTTAGTTTTGCACAGAGTAGGGAGGGGTCAGACCCTCTGTCAAGATTTTTTTTTTTTTTTTATATTGCTGCCTGTGTTCCCACTGGGGAGATTTTCCACTCTATTTGTACTGACTATTGTCACATATACATATATCACATTTACCTTCCACGTGTCCTTTGCTGCAAAGCTACCAACCACATGTCCAGTCCTAGCACTCCCCAGCATTACCTGAATTGAATTAGTAAGTACCATAAACTTGTATGGACAAAACTACCTCAATTCAAACAATAGTGCCAAGACTAAAAGCTGAACAGTATTTGAACTTCAGTGACAGCTAAGATTTCTGTAGCATCTGTGGCACAGGACACTATAGATGGTGCAACTTAGGGAATACATTTACCCTCTCAAGTATTGCATAGCTCAATTTGGAGTGGTGTATTCCTTTAATACAAAGAAAATCAACAGAAAAAACTTAACCAGTCAGGGAATAGAAATGACTATGTATGTATAATGGATTCAGTACTGCTATGCAGTTAATAAGTAAAATACTGTAAACTACAAATATACATAAAGAAAACATGTTTTTATCCAAAGTAAAAACAGATGCAAGTTAATCTGCAATGGTATACATTCAAAGTTGCCTATGGCAGAATAGACCAGACTAGTAAAGATTTTTACAAGGGGGTGGCTGTAAACATGCTGATATTTACAAGCAAGCTTTGAAGAACAGGGGTAGGCAACTTTGGCATTCGAGATACAAATCCTACCATGCCTCTGCCTCTGGGAATCATGCCTGTAGTTGTCAGTCTTTCTTGGCCTAACAGGACTTGTAGTTCTACCAAAAAAATTATATCCCCCAAAAAACCCTGACCATGCACACTTTTAACCACACACACAAAACCATGCCTCCATATGTAGCCACACCAGCTGTGCAGTGTGTAGGAAATCTCACCCAAGAGATGATTGCCACACATACACAACTGACTCCAGCAGCGCCTTAATGGGATGGCACCTGCAATTCTGACTGGCACCACCCCTAACATGGTGACCTGACAGGGGTGTTGCTTGGATTGTGAAAAACCTGGGATACACACGGGGTGTGTAGTGAATGGTGGGTGTGGCAAAATTGTGATAACGGTGGGAGGGGCTTATAGTGGTATGGTTAAATAAAACCTGAGCCTACTCTGTTCTGGACCAAGAGTGCTTAATGCACAGAGTGCAGAAGTCAGCAGTGCATAACGGTCAAGGGTCAAGAGTGCGTAATGCACAGATTGTAGTGGGCAGGAATGCATACTCTTCGGAGTGTAGGGGTACTGAGTAAGTAATGCACAAAGTGCAGATCAAGAGTAGTAACAATGACCAACCTTTTCCCAATACAATCCCACCCAAGGCAAAACCACCTTCAAAACACAAAAATCACCCTTTCCTCCCTGAATTGTATTTCCTAGACTTTGCATTGCACCTGCTGATGAATGCCCTGGGACCTGATGCTGTGACCGCCTATGTTAACGTGTCTTCTATATGTGATTTTATACAACTGCTGGCTTCGGTCCCTGCCAGCCTGCCAGTTATCAGACCTACAGCACAGAGTTGAGAGAAGTGCTCTGAAACCAATCTGACTTTTGTGCTACACAGCTCTGACAGGTGGTGGACGGGCCAGTAGGAGGGGAGAGAAACAGGAGCAGCTGCACAATTTACATATAGAAAGGAAAAAAACAAAACCACAAGCAGAGGGAAACGCTCAACGGGGGCATTTGTTTGCTGGGTACGGACCCTTCAAAACAGGGATGGATGGCAAGCTTGATGTAGGTAGTGATGAGAAGTAAAAAAAAACAAAAAACAAAAAAAAAACCCCAACTCCTAGTACCTGCAGTTCCTACCTGCCAATATCATCAGCACCTATGAAGGCAGAAGAAGAAGGCTACTAACTTTTTGTTTTTGGTTGCTGCATCTTGCTCTATGCAATATCAAATGAGGTTCTATATGTAGATTCTGCTTTTCCTCTATATACAACAAAAGCAAACTTCTCTGGGCTCCAGTAAAAAAGTGACCAATAGACCCCTACAGAATCTGCACAATATTCACGAATACCAACAATACCACTCACAAAGTATTAAACATGTAAATGTCTTTCAACTAGGGAATCCATTGGTGAAATGATGAGGAGAAACCAACACCACCAGAAAAGGTCCTCATACAGCCATGGTCCTGGTAGCCGTTGCTATTCTTACACATATGAAACAAAGCATGGTGTGCGAACTATGGTAGTAAAATACCCTGTGCCCATGGTCACTTGATTGTAGGTAGGTAAAGAGAGAAAGCAACCAAGCTTTAATGCTATGCAGAATAAGATCCAACTGACGTCAAAGGCATTCAGTCAGATAGATATTGTATTATTAATCACCATTTTCAATCTCACCTCTTCTTTCCTGTAATGGCTGGTCTGCAGCGTGTCTAAACAAGACTACGCACTCAAACCTGGTCAGAAACACCCCCTCAACATAAGTACATGTGTGGACTTGTGAAGAGGATGTGGCTGTGACTTGTTTTTGCCAGGATAGACCTTGGAGTGGTACTGCAAGTACTACATTTAAAGTAAGAAATAAAAAGGCAATTGCAAGTGAAAAATACTTAAAAGTCAAAGTCATGTACAGGACTATACATGTCAGGTACATGAATAAAAAGAGAAAAATAGTGATAATTCAGTTGAGTTTTAAACAGATTCAAGTTTGGCTTTAGCTTCTCAGATAAGTCCCATGTGTAGTTGTAGGTAAGAGGCAAACAAGTACTTTACTCTTATCTAAATAGGCAGGCAACCTTCAACTAAAAGTCACCTTAGTACCAGCTTCCTGATGAGCTAGGTATGTTATACCATATGTAATGTGTCTTCATGTGCCCAATAACATAAGCAAAAACATTTTTCAACACAATCTGTTCTACCATAGAGCACATGAAGTATCATATGCAACGCACAAGTGGAATAAAACCTTGAGACAATAATGATTTGATCACTATTTTAAATTGACAGCATTATATAATAAGACATTTCAAAAGGTAGGTCACAAAAGATAGTGATTTGAACTGAAGGATCATACAGCACATTCTGTTTGGCTATGTTCCCAGATTTGAGACACCAAAAAACACATTAGCAATGTATTTCAAATGTGAGAATGCTAATATAACACTGGTACAAATTGGTGTTAGGAGACCTTTGTCATCCATTACAACCATATTCCTTGAAATACCAGGCAATTAGACAAAATGCCATAAGTTTAACTTTAGTCCATTTGTAGACATTACTTTAAGTGCTTAACTGCTATCACTACATCCTGCTATGTTTCATACTGTGGCACGGTAGTCATTTCAACTAGCTACAGTAGACTGGCTCTACATGTTACAATCAAGCTGGGAAATTGCTAAATACAGTACAGATCACTTGGATCAGGGCCACCAGCTAGCAGAGAGTACATATTATTTTCTGCTACACAGATGGACCCAATTGCGGGTGCTTTGATGACTGGACTTAGCATGTTTTTTTTTGGTTTGCCCTACACGCAAAACTATTTCCTACAGTATATCCAAGTGACCCACTAATAGCAGTTTTGCTGTTTGGGGACAATAACAGAGGAATTATAAAAGCAATGTGACCAATAACTCCAACAAACTGTCGCTGCCACATTAACAAATATTTCTTGCCCATAAGGCTATAGTGTGACATTGGCAACATATTCTACATTTTCTTCTATAATCTCCAGTTGTAGTCCACTAATAGTGAAACTAATGCCAGACACACATTATATCTAACTGCTTTAAAGTTCAAGTCTTGTTTGGAAGCAAGCACACCAACAAATGTACTACCATGCCAAATATGAATGAAAAATTAGTCTATGATTTGAAGTGTAGTAACCATACCTAATTTCACTGTAGACATGAGTTACACTGAAGCAAAGACAAAAGCCAAACATATTATGAACTATAGATTTAAACTTGAGGCATAGGGTATTGGACAAAGTTTGTGTAATGTTTCTGTAACAACTATGCCATGCTTCAGTTTAGTTGTAAATTGAACACAGAGACTGAAAGACAGTGATAAGACGCACCGAAAGCTTAGTGGTTTCTTCATGTACCACAAAAAAATATGTATTGTCAGCAAAAACAAACACAGTGTTTAAAATATA